GTATGTATGTATGTATGTATGTATGTATGTATGTATGTATGTATGTATGTATGTATGTATGTATGTATGTATGTATGTAGTCTACACACACAAATCTTCTTATATATCGACATTATGTCTGATGACTGCATGTTCGAAATAGTATATGCATTCTTAAAGCCAGCCACACAACAAAATTAGATCGGAGATATCTTTCCTGACTACTTAATCAAACTTCAATTACGATAACCACTATCGTGTTACATACAAAATTAATCGTTGGTAAAGCCACTGCGGCTTCTGCACATTACTGGACACCAACTGAAACCCAATTGGTTGGTTCCGACAACTCCAATACATCCCACTCTCTACGTCACCTGTACCTTGACGGAGCATGACCTCCTTGCGCATCCTTAATGTACGTACCCTGGTAAATATGGTAAAGTCCAACAACAGCCCTTCCTGCTTAACCAGTTCTATGTCTTATTCTGATTGTTGTTCCATTGAAAGCACATTCGTTCCTTATCTTTGGTTCCGACACAGTCTATCCATGTTCTTGTAGTTATGGATCAAGAGTAACTTGAATGTATGCACAGTGAAATAACGTATAAAACTCAGGTGTATTACATCTCCAAATTGAGATCCATCATTGAGAACTGAACCTTCGCAACCTATTTCCAAGGTTGGGCAAAGATCTTGAGAGCTCTAAGAAGCAGCGAAATTTCGCGTAAAAATTGAAACCTTGTGCACACCCAGACAAGGCACCTGCGTAATATACATAACGAGGAGCATGTGCCTACCTAGGGTTATACATAAAAGCACCACCACTTAGCGGAAACATCGGAGATCAAATCTCGGCAGACGCGAATGAGTTGTGTCTGCTGCTTTCTTTTAGTAATGAAAGGGAAAAGGTCGACTGGGGCAAATCTTTTCATTTGTGGAGCTACGTTTTAAAGGCAAATTGAGGTTGCTTGGGATTTATTCATTTCCAACATCGATCTTACATGTTGTGTTACTTTAACATGATTTGACATGTTCTCTTGAAGGCTGATTTTTTTTCTGATTTTAAGGAAGGGTTACATCTCAAGTGGAAGGATATTATGATGTGCGTTCGTGATCCCCATACGGGTTTTGTTCGTCCGCCCGACAGGTGTTTGCCTTACGAAAATTTACCTCCGGTAAGGATGCTAGCTTTGCATTAAATGTGGAACTATTTTCTCTCCATCAATGTGAAGTAGAATAAAAGTTACATATGTCTTCAAACAAATGTATATATATTGAACCAATTTTGTGTGTAAACATTTTCAAACAAATTCATTTTTTAAGAAAAAAAAAGAAAATTTTCAAAGAATTTTAAATAATAGTACATTGCTGATAAAAAAAAACAATAGAAAATTAATCAAGAAAACAAATTCGAAACTGAAATAAAAAAATCTAATTGACAAAATCAACAAAAGAAGATAGCAAAGGTTAAAATGTCTTCCGTATAATTTAATAATATAAAATTGTTCTAAATTTGGCAATTATATTTAGTTCTTTAAAAATCAGTATCACATAATTATCAACTGATTTTACAATGAGAAACTCATTGTCTTTTAAAATAGGAAAGAAAGTAAATTAACCAGAATGATACACAGTTTTGATAATGAAAATATGCATGCATTTTTTTTTTGGTAGATTAACCGTTTTTAAATCACTGTTATGACATAAGTCTCTATAACGGTGACTCCTTAGAGGTCAATTTTAAGGATGAGTTACTTCAATCCTTGTTGACTTAAAAACATTACCATCAGTCTAGTTTTTTTATCACCACAATTTCAATATATTAAATTCTAACTTCATTGTCATGGACGGTATCTTCGTAAACCAAATGTTTACAAGGTGATTACATTAAATGCGGTCCTGTGTACAATTCATATGATTTTGCTTGTTAAAGTTCCAAGCATTCGTTAACTTTGCATCATTATAGAAAATCATTTTTAACTCACACACTTGAATTAATGAACTTCAAAATACGATGTTCTATAAAGGCTATCTGAATATTAGATCATCACGGTACTGCCGTCTAATGATAATTTGCAGGACTTCTGAATGTGTTGAAGGTTAATTGGTTTCGAAGTAGTTTGGAATGTGAGGAACGTTTTCGGTGTTAAAACAAGCTGATCATAGTTGTCCGTTTTCTCTCTCGTATTTCTAAATAACGGACATCACCGCGTGCCTTGTGCTCGTTACGCGTAGTAAATACTGAACGTGAAATGCATGTAACTGACATTTCTAATAAAGGTAAAACTTTCGCAAGATTCAGACCGTATACTTACATGTAAACATATTTTCAGATTGCCTCTCTCTCTCTCTCTCTCTCTCTCTCTCTCTCTCTCTCTCTCTCTCTCTCTCTCTCTCTCTCTCTCTCTCTCTCTCTCTCTCTCTCTCTCTCTCAAAGTAAGCTGTATTTAGAATAATAGAATAATATTTGCAAATTGTTTCATGTTCTTCCATTCTTTTATGTATCAATTTAGTGATTGTAGATGATTACTTTGATTATATGTGTTTTGTATGTATAGGTAATGTATAACATTAGCAGATAGGAGGCATAGAAGATAGGATAGTAGGGATGCGAGAAAAGTAGCAGAAGATGCTCCAAGCATCTTTAGGGTCTATATAGCTAGGGGTAGGTGGAAAATATTGAATATCAGCAATAGCAGCAGTAGCGGCAAATGTAGAAGTAGCAGTAATTACTAAAGCTATATTATTGGTAGTAGCATCATCATCAATTGTTATTGTCACGTATTTTTACTTCTGCAAAATTTGGTGGCACTGCTGGTGTTATTTGACATCGCATTATTTTTTTTTTACAACATCTATGACTCTGATTAGTATTTCGTGACTCGGAAGAAATTAGATGCATGAGATGAGCAATTGCATCAAAATGGAGTTCAGTTTTTAATGTAATTAGGAATTTTTAAAGCTATAACTGCCACGCAAAATAACATGCTGACTCTAACGTAGTAAAGGAGTTCAGAAGACATTTGCATCAGACAAATCATAATGATGTTATAATCGAAATTTATTTACGCTAAGACATGCATACAATCAAGTTTCTTTGTATACTATAAACTGTATGAAAATATTAATCTCTTGACCGACATTTTGATTTGAATATAAAATTTACTAATATGGTGAAACGATTATGACGCATGAGTTTTTTCCTTAAATGGTTTATCAGGTGTCCGTTATCATGTTCATTTTCAATGCCCTAACTCAGTGGTCCCCAACCTTTTAGTCGCTTCGGACCGGTTAACGTTTGAAAATTTTACCGCGGCCCGCTGTGGGAGGCGGGGTACGTTGATTGTTTATATTTTAGATTGTTCCAATATAATAATTTTAATTTATTTGTATTTAAACATGCCTTCAAAATAAAATACAGTTACACCAAAATTAAATATAAATAAATATAAATATAAATGAATATAAAGTGAATATAAACCCAAGAGAAATACGCAACAGTAAATAGAATGGAAATAATTTAATGTACCTTGTGCGGCCCGGTACCATTTGATCAACGGACCGGTACCGTTGGGGACCACTGTCCTAACTCTAGCAACAGAAGTGTAAAATCAATGTAATATAAGTATAATTTCAACTATTTAGTATGGAGAACAAAATAAATATTTTTACTACCAGTAACATTTTTGGCAATGAATGTTAATTTTTGCGGCATGGATGTTTGCATGGAAGATAATGATGGATTAGCAATAAATAAATCGTTTAATACCGCAAATGTTCGTCTGATATTGCGAGAAATAAACAACGCTAAAATAACTATAGCCTAATAAAAACTAAACGTAGCAACACCTGAGTGTTCTTTATTTGCTATAATAAACAACTTATTTATTTTCATTATTACAATATTTATATACATCAAGAGAGCAGAAATGTTAGCTTTCAAATTCAATTTTCTTTGTTTTCTACCATTACATACTTTTCAAATACTATGTATGTATGTATGTATGTATGTATGTATGTATGTATGTATGTATGTATGTATGTATGTATGTATGTATGTATGTATGTATGTATGTATGTATGTATGTATGTATGTATGTATGTATGTATGTATGTATGTATGTATGTATGTATGTATGTATGTATGTATGTATGCATGCATATATATAGTTTATAAAGACATCGAATTGTAGCATCAATAAGGGCTTAAATATCTATATAAATGGTAAGCATGACGGACCAGACCCGGACCGAAAGGTGCGGTTCGAATTCAACCATGAGATCAGCCTGGTTTGGCTATTGGGTCGCGCCCTTCGGCAAGACACTTCGATTAGCTCATTACTAACAAAATTCTGTTTGAGTTACTGTGCCACAAAGCATCAAACTAAACTAAAGTCTTTTTATAGCAGACATGATAGGAAACAAATGGCATACTCTCGATTTAATTTTATGGAAAGTAATAAAATGTATCACGCTTTAAAAAATCCATTTCTGGAATGCCTCTGAATTCTAAAATGGAGCTATTGTTTATCTACATTTTAACTCCAATAATTTAGTAGTAGTAGTAGTAGTAGTAGTAGTAGTAGTAGTAGTAGTAGTAGTAGCAGTAATTATAAACTTTAATAAATTAACTGTAGGTAGTTAAACTGAAATAACAAGACGCTTAAGAAGGAAACCCTTTTTAATACGACAAGATCATAATTTAGAAAAATATGGTAACCATTTAAACTTGAATATCGGTGTGTGTATGTGTGTGTGTGTGTGTGTGTGTGTGTGTGTGTGTGTGTGTGTGATTTGGACTTTTAATGTGGCTTTAACAATTTTTCAATCATATCACTACGATGTCTGCAGTGTGGCACTTTATAGTGATGTTTAGCATTATGGCATCATGCTACATATCTGGAGCGTGATCTCACCCTGTCACATAATCCTTACACCAGGAAGATCAGTCCTAACACTAACCTCTTAATGCTGAGCGCCAAGCGAGACAACTGTTAATATACATTTTTTAAAAGTTATGATTCAAACGGTGTTCGAACACGCGACCTCCTGCATCGGAGGCGGACGCTCTAACCACTAGGCCACCGAAGCGGTACTCAGTGGAATGTAAATATCTCCAAATGTTTCACGGAATATTTTTCAGCTGAAGAGCAGAACTATGTACTATGTATATGTCATCCTCTTGATCTATATATATGTATATATATATATATATATATATATATATATATATATATATATATATATATATATATATATATATATATATATATATATATATATATATATATATATATCTTTTGCAGGTTGCAGGACGCCCGCCTGCAGATTGGTATCCTCCGTATGAAGGATTTCCTCCGGTAAGTAAATTTCTTTGCAAATATGCAACTATTGCGATCATACTAGTGAAGAGTCGCCTGTGTATTGCTTTGCCATTTGCAGCTACCCTTTCTAAGGTTTCTTATCAAACACCTTTCTTGTTACAGATTCCTCAAGTTTGAGTCAATTTCTTTTTATCCCTTATCAAATTAGAACTTCATTTTTCCGCCACAATTTCTAATAATGCAAGATCTATTAATCAACATATGTTCGAGTTGGAAGCTTAATCAAATTTTTGTATATCTTTGTCATTGAGATTTATTATTGTATTCGCCAAGCACATACAAATTGTAAACAATTTTATTTGACTATCATTCTTTTTAACAGTTAACTATTCGCTGGGAAAGTCCATTTTATAATACTATAGCTCAATGACAATAATTTTATGAAAATGGCGTTGCAGATCTTGGCTGTTTGATAAATTCGTTTTTAATCATGACATTGTCGATAATTTTTTCTTGACAATAAAATGTAAAATAACTTTGCATTGAACCTATACTCCAGCTTATGGATATTAAAGTATATACAACGATGACAATTAAGACGACTAAGTTGAAGACTGGAACCTTCCAAAATAAAACCTCTTCTTTCATCCGTTTCCGATATTCGACCACTCAGATAATGAGACTACGTGCAAATATGTCGAATTTGCAGTTCGAATTAGAAGTAGAAACAGCAACGTCATCAATTTTACACTGAAATATGTTCAATGTGTACTTGTATTTTATTCAGTGATCAACCAAAATTTAAGGTCATGGTCATGGAAAAAAATGGTAATTTTTGCCAAAGTAAAGGTATAAGTGTCTTCTGAAATGATCAACGACAACAAATAAAATTGTATTATTTACAATTAAAATCTTTTATCCAACCTCAACTTACTTTTGCTTTGGACACGTCTGGCATTTCTAGCTTAGGGCTTGAACAGTGCATGCAATGGCAAATTTTATAAGAAACACCTATTCAGCACTGTCAAATCTGAAAATACCTCATAATTATCACAAGGACAAATCGGGGTTGTCTTCTGATGGTTTTACATCGATAATTTACAACCGTTATATTTCTTTTAACTAAAACGACAAAAACACTTACTTGCAATTACTACGGTTATAAAACGTTCATGATAATCTCGCTAAAACAGTATTTTTGTTTATATGTATTTAAAGAATGCAAATATTAATAATTGATCTGCTATGCAAACTCGATTGATCGATCGATCGATTAGACTTTGCTATATTTATTTATGTTGTTTAGGTTTACTTCTGGCCATGATGTTTCTTGGCTTTTTAACTGTAGAGTAAGAACGGTGACGACGTCGTTAGTTTAGAGAGCTTATGTCCAATCACACTTTTATCTTACCTGCAAAACAAATCAAATATTGCTTTTGTGCATGAATCAGATATATCATCATTCAGGTGTTGTTTCGTATATACCGATATACCAGAAAATGTCTGTGTGAAAGGAGCATCATTTTCCTGAAAGATAATTCTGCATAGTCTATTTAAAAACGATGCCTTCCTTTTATCTGAATAACAATCTTTAAGAACAGAAATAACGTACACATTTAAAAAAAAAAAACTATAAATGTAATACTGATTTCACTATTATTTGTACTTTTGCTTCTCTAAGAGCTACGATATATATCTTAATTTGTATGTCGCCATTTTCGTGCTCAAGAAGATTTTATCATTTCATATTTTCTTTCGTTCACCTGGAGTTTTTATAAAACCCAGAATGCATATTTTTCTCGAACTGTTAATATGCGAAACTGTTTTCTAGACGCATTGTTATCAGAGCGAATCTGAAAACTGTGTTCACACATGTCTTATCATCATGATATAAACATGTGGTTCGTACCGCACATTTTTAAAGTTACGTTTTAAAGCACACCAATGGCATTTTTATCCGAATCCATTGCCCTAAGACATCCGCAGGTCGCTAAATCGCTGCCATTCATGACAGCTGCAGATTTTCCACAACCTCTTCCTATCTACCATCACTATGTGGAATTGCTGTATAATTTAAACAACCGTGAAAATGTACTGCATAGCTTAGATAAGTTTGCATACGGCACAGTTCCTGAGCTATATTTTTTAGAAAGAATTCTAGAAATTCTCTCGAAGAGGAAGTAATGCAAAATGTTGATACTGCGCCTTTGATCTTGTTTTTTAAACAGAGAAGACACGTGCATAATGTCTTTTTTAAATATTGTCTCTACTCATATGAAGATATAACCATCTGTAACTGTATCTCGAATCTATTTATAGTATAAGTTTGAATGATGCCAGATCCCCTTTTTCCATCTGTAGCTAAATGCATATGCATCATAAATCATATTGGCAAATTTTTCATTCCAGCATTCTTAAAATATTGTCCCTCCTCTGCTGGAAATACAGTAAAATGTTTTGCGCTGCTGTACAAGTTGTCAATTATTCCATAACAAAAACTATTCAATGGTGGTGGGTGGACTATCGCTATATTCAAACTATATTGGATATACTTCCAGTTTATGAAAATTTCAGATTTACAACTGTCATCTCCAATTGAATAGTGCATTTTTCTTTAATTGAAACTAAAAAAAAAACTAGTGAAAACTGTTTAAGTTTTCTGATTGTAAGCGAGAGACCTGGGAAAGACATAATCACGTGCGTCCTCTATTTCTAACTGAACTGATCGAAGCGCTTTTGAAAATCAAACTATTGTAATCGAAAGGGATCTGACTGAAACAATTTTGAAAATCTAGCTATTGAATTCTAATAGAATACAATATATTACTTAAATTATTTATGCCGTGTATAAGTATTTTCTTAAATTGTGTACATAAGACATGGTAAAACAATCTAAAATAGTGATTATTAAGTTATTCAATAAAAATTACAAGAAAATAATCAACGGTCGGTACCAACAACATTTTTTTTTATTGCTGCGAACATTTTACGCTTTTGTATTCCAAAGTACTATCATCGTTATTATGTAATAGTCTTGAACCATCAATACATAATAATTAAATTGCCCAACCTTATGTGTCAAAACATTACACTATGTACGCTTTTTAGCTTGCAATTTCTTTAGACTCATATCACTGGATTGCATACATTTAATAAATAAAACACAAATGAAAATGTAATTATTTTATAATGTTTATCTAAGTCAATATTGTCACTTCTCCGTCGCTTTTGAAAGGAAAATACAAAATTTATGTTACTTTTATGTCCGCAGTAAAAGAGAAAAAGTCACACCTTTGAACACCACACATCACATTGATCACAAATTAACGTCCATGAATGAAGATAATTGCTATTCTGGTTTCAGATTTTTCAGGAGACTGTGTACTTTATAACATTAAAATCTTGATGGTAAACTACATTCTTAATTACGAAAAACATAACAGGCCCAGAAAAACCAAGACAAAAGAGTAGCATGTGAATTATTTTACGAAATACAGAAAAGGAAAAATAAGCAGAAGAATTTACCAAAGAAAACTAACATTTCTCATGATAAGAAATATGCATATATTGATTGTAGGCCCGACATAAAATATCAGTTTCAACCTTTAAAAAAACAACTTTCAACAAAATATACAATAAATTTACCCATTAATGTTTCCGCCACAAAAAAAAGTATTCAGAAAACGCATTTGCATTAAAATTGACAAGAATGAAAAGGCAGACCACGCGAATGATATTTCTATATTAATCTATATTACATCGATATAAAACAAGAATGTGTACAATATAGTTGCTGTCAAATTTAACATAGCTCGTCGATTATTTATTTATTATTATTATTATTATTATTATTATTATTATTATTATTATTTATTATTATTATTATTATAATATACAGTTAATCTCAGATGTTATTGTTCGCAAGTCAGATAGATATGTTTAAAAAAATCAATAACAAATGAGCGTTCTGATAATATTTATTGAATACATGGGCTTTTAACATTTCATATTTTACCTGATAGCATTTACAGCTTTAAACGTTATATCTTCCATCAATTATTATTACGTTGATCGACTGTTTTTGTATGTATTAATATGTAAACGGTGTATGAAGACGATACCATCCTGGATAAAAACATTAAACTCTATTGAAATTATTCCCTGGTTTTATTTAATAACAGGTACAAATCGCGCTTTCCTCAGAAGAACTGAATCGACCAAAGCGTTTCATACAATTCGAATTTGAATATATGTAGATTTATTTCGTTCTTAGAATAACGGCAAGGTTGGAGCATATATACTATGAGGAATGTCATCTATTTAGACAGAGATTGGGTTGAAGTATGAGTAACAACTGCTGCAACGCACAAACAAGCAATAAAAGTCAACATCATGTACCCGTCCCGAACTAAAAATCACAAGATACGAGCTTGCATGATCCTCAAAGCCTTTCAATTCATCACGAGAAACGTAATACTCCGTCGAAATCCGAACTATCCAGATCACAATCTTTCTCTGGTACACACGCATAGTTATGCAGTTCTCTCTCTCTCTCTCTCTCTCTCTCTCTCTCTCTCTCTCTCTCTCTCTCTCTCTCTCTCTCTCTCTCTCTCTCTCTCTCTCTCTCTCTCTCTCTCTCTCTCTCTCTCTCTCTCTCTCTCTCTCTCTCTCTCTCTCTCTCTGCTGAACCAAAGAATTGTTTTTATTGCATTACAGAAGTGTATATCTTTTTTTTCAAAGAAGCTACTGTTACCGTAATCATTGTGG